TGCAGAAGCGCATGGCTGCTCTTGTGGACTCTGGTCTTGGTCAACTTCAAGATTTTGCGAGATCACAGAATACAGAGGAGGACTTGGAATCCGCTTTCCCAGCAAAGGTACTCGTTCCGTACGAGACCTTGACGTCGCTGCGCGCCGAGGTTTCATCCTTCCAGCAAGAACTGGCTAATCTCGCCTCACGGTCTGCCAGGGATTTGGCAGAAGTGCGAAATGCACAACACCGCAGAAATGAGATCACGAAGCTGCGGTACATCAATATCGTAGAGAGGCAGATCACCGCTCTCGAGAGAAAGGAAAGCGCAGCCAAAGAGAAGCTTGAAAAAGATCATGCGAGACTTACCAATGAGGTAGATCAAGCCACTCGGACAATCGCCGGCAAGGACAATCAAATCAAGCAGATGAAAGAAATATTCGAGGAGACTAAGAGATCCAATGCATCAGAACTTAGTCTGATCAAGCAGGCAAATGAAGCCCTGAAACGTAAAGTCGGGGCTCTTAGAAAGGTCGACGCATTGGCTCATGGACTCCAAGAAGCATTAGCTCAAGCGCGTGCCGACACAACTGCTGCAAAGTTGGAGCACCAAGAGGCAGTAGACCAAGCACGTGCTGCTGCAGATGCTACGAAGCTGGCACACGAAAAGGCCATGGAAGAGCTTGCAGAGAAAGCCGAGGAAGATCGAGAAGGTTTTCAGCCGCAACTCAATTATTGGCAGAGTCACGTCACCCGTTTAGGCCTTCAAGTCGAACAGTTGACTAAGGAGCGCGATAAGGCAGTGTCTTACCAAGCTTACCAAGGTCATATGGAGGAGGCCCATTACAGGATGCATAACGCCAGATCTGAGAAGCTTGACGACAGATCCAAGGAGCTTGACGAGAGAGAAAGACTGATCGAACAACGCGAGCAAGCCGTGGCGGAAAGGGAGCTGGTCCGCGAGCATGATATCAGTGAGAGTGGTAACACTCATGAAGCGGATGTGGCAGTGGAGGACGAAGTGGATCTGGTCGAGAACGCTATCTGCGAGAGACCATATGAGTCCTAGAATCGCAGGGACGTTGGCGGCATTCGCCCGATGGTTTGGGCGCGGGACAAGGTAGCGGTATCTTGGTGATTTTTTAGGCAAGCATATTTAGTGAGAAGCATGGCCCGGGGATTTTCCCAAGCAGTAGCCCCGGCACTCTTCTGCTCAAATGACTTGATACATCAAAACAGAGGAAATTGTTTTCGAGCACTTTATTTTTTTGCCACAGGTTTCATTCTTGAGTGCTAGACTTTGGTATCGTGTATACCAGCAGCCCGACCAGAAGTGGCCCCGCTCGTCGCTGAATCAGATATAGCCCACCGCTGAGACCCCACAGCGAAATCGCAGAATTTCGACGACTCGAGCATTCAAGACCAAATCATACATTGACGTTTTACACATAACACATTCAGACCGTCACAATGCCGTCCGAAGTCTCCGACATCAAGCGCTTCATCGAGATCTCGCGGAGGAAGGATGCCTCTTGTACGTCCATAAGCCCGCTGTTCTGACGAGTACCATTACCCGACGGCCGCTTTCTCCGGTGCAGCAGCAGCATGAAGAAGACCACGAAAGATGTGCTGAGAGCTGGTGTACTGACATGTAATACCTACAGCCGCGAGGATAAAGAAGAGCCCCAAAACCCACACCATCAAGTTCAAGGTCCGATGCACACGCCACTTGTACACCCTTACCCTTAAGGACAAGGACTCCGACAAGGCCGACAAGCTGAAGCAGTCTCTGCCTCCCGGTGCGTTGGAGCAATCAATAGCACGCAGTGCAGACGGACAATCTGACAGTATGCAGGACTCACCATCGTCGAGGTGCCCAAGAAGAACCAGAAGGGCAAGCGTGTCGCCAAATAGACGCACCACAGGTTACGACGATTCGTTGAAGGTGTAAAAGGAAGGTCAAACTGTTTGGTACGGCATGCGGAAGCTCGTGTGATGGAGTCTACTTTGCAGCACACACGGAATGCCGTTCAGTGCATGTCTTGACAAGTACACCATTTTGAAAGATATGGGACAGTAGTCATGCATCTGGCGCTCAAACAAGAGCGTGAAATTACCTTCGATCGTTTCGTCAATGAATACCCTCTTCTTGTGTCCGACGCTCTGATTTCTTAGACCCTTGAATTTGTGGCTTGTGACGCTTGTGACATGGGATCCTTGGCGTATAGCTTCTGGAAAGCTGTCCTGTCCATTAATCCTCCGCAATATTTCTGTCTTGCTGTACACTGGTCTTGTTTAGGTCGCTGAAGGCGGGATATCTCCTGTGCCTACTGAGCCCCATTGCCTCTTGCGCGTCGCCTGCTGCCCGCACTCCGGTCACGACTCCTAATCCAGCTGGCTCCGTACATTCAATGTTTCCTTCACGGTGACCGCAACCGTAACCGCGCATTTGCGTGTGTCATCCAATAAAAGTACCATCTCTGAGGCTCCAGCTACACAATGTCGGGCGAGTCACAATCCTGGTCGTCCTCTGGACGCTCACGCTTCCAGCAGGGAGGCGGTAATGGGCATGCCGTGAGTGAGAAGATCGGGGGCATGTTCGACCGCGATCGCAAGAACTCGTTGCCCATGTACAAGGACAAGCCATACGCGTATCCTGGTTCTCACCGACGAGGCCCTTGGTTCCGCCGGAAAAGCACACTCGCCGGCCTTGCCCTGTCCGTCTTCGCTCTTTTATACTGGTTAGGCTTCTTCTCGTCCGGATCGGTCAGCACTCCCAGCCGCGGAAGAAAACCCTCGGGTAGCAGCGCAAAAGGAGGCAAGGTGGATTGGACCGCTCGGGCAGAAGACGTCAGGGAAGTAATGCGGGACTCTTGGGCTGGGTACGAGAAGTATGCTTGGGGATATGACGAGTACCATCCTATCTCCAAGAATGGCAGGCAAATGGTGAACAATGGCATGGGTTGGATCATCGTGGATGCTTTGGACACTCTCATGATCATGAATCTTACGTCTGAGCTGGCTCACGCTAGGGAATGGGTGTCTACCACCCTGAGTTACGACGTGAATCACGACGTCAATGTCTTTGAGACCACGATTCGTATGCTCGGTGGCCTCTTGTCCGCCCACTATCTCAGCACCGAATTTCCCAACATGGCACCTGTCAGAGATAAGCTGAGCGACGACCTTTATCTGGAAAAGGCAACAGATCTGGCGGACAGGCTGATGGGTGCATATAATTCGACGAGCGGCGTGCCGTACGCAAGTATCAACCTGCACGAGAAGAGAGGGCTGGTCAGCCACGATGACGGAGGTGCCAGCAGCACTGCGGAAGCCACAACATTGCAGTTGGAGATGAAATATATGGCCAAGCTCACTGGTGAGACTGTGTACTGGGAGACGGCCGAGCACGTGATGAAGGTCGTGGATGACAACGAGGCAAAAGATGGACTAGTGCCAATCTTTATCTATGCGGATCAGGGAACCTTCCGAGGTCAAAATATCAGACTTGGCAGCCGTGGCGACTCATACTATGGTATGTTACACATCACACTTCATGATAGGTGATTCACTGACAACGTCCAGAATATCTAATCAAGCAATACTTGCAAACCTCGCTCCAAGAGCCTATCTACCTAGAAATGTGGGATGAGGCGTTGGAGGGCGTACAGAAGCATCTGATTACCTACTCCCATCCGAGTCAATTCACCGTGCTCGCGGAGCGCCCAGAAGGTATCGATAATGGCCTCTCCCCTAAGATGGACCACCTGGTATGTTTCATGCCGGGTACCATCGCTCTGGGTGCGACCAAGGGTCTGCCTCTGTTCAGCGCCTCGACCAAAGGCACATGGACGCGCAAGCACGACCGTGAGATGGAGCTTGCAAAAGAGCTCATGAAGACATGCTGGGGAATGTACAAGGCGACATCGACTGGCCTCGCGCCGGAGATCGCGCACTTTCATTTACCCACAAAGCAGCTCATGATGTCCGACTTCCCCATCGACGATCAACCTAAAGGTCCTGGCGAGAAGGAGTTCCAAGACCCAGACGGCGAGTGGCGGAAAGACTTCTTGCTCAAGCCCGCGGATCTGCACAATCTCCAACGGCCCGAGACTGTCGAGTCGCTGTTCTACATGTGGCGGATCACGAAGGATCCCATATACCGCGAATGGGGATGGGAGATGTTCGAGGCATTCCGCAAGTACACCAGTGTCGGTGATGCGGGATACAGCTCTCTCAACAATGTCAACCAGGTGCCTGTCACTTTCCGGGACAACATGGAAAGCTTCTGGCTGGTAAGATCCAAATCCATTATTAAAAAGAATCAGAAACATTCAGAGCATCACTGACGCGTCGTATTAGGCTGAAACACTGAAGTACTTCTACCTCCTATTCGGGCCAGAAGACGTCCTGCCTTTGGACAAAGTAGTGTTCAACACAGAGGCCCATCCCTTTCCTAAGTTCGAACTCGGGAAACTCTTCAAGACCGGCTGGCAGCGCAAACCTCGCAGGAAGGCTGATGTAGCATCTGACGACAAGGCGAAGAAGGAATCGGTTGAGTCGGCGTCGACGGAGAAGCCGCATGACGAGAAGAAGAAAGGCGAGGAGAAAGAGGACGAGAGAAAGGGCAAGAAGGAGAAGCGGGATTAGTTATCTTTGTTTCAGTAGTTAGCGCGCATCATAGGTTGCAATTGTACGAAAGTGATAAGATGTATCACGAAGCAAGTTGTCAAGAACGCCTATATCGTCGTCAATTGATATTACAGTGCAAGAGACTCGGTCGAACTCAAGTAGGATATGCTACTTCGATTACGACCATGTGCCTGGTGCCTGGCTCTTATGCAACGCAAACTTCTAGTATAGCAAAAGGTGGTGCACATTTGGACATGCCCCTCCCCACCCGACGTCGGCAATTCGCGGCCCTAATTGCCCTGACCAAACCCTACAACGCACGAGCAAAAAAAAAAATCCTACTCAACGATTCAGGACCCAAAAACATCCCACTACAGGCAAAAGAACAAGGTCGTACCCGGAATCGAACCGGGGTTGCCGGAAGGCTCTTGATTAGTGAATCAGAATCCGAAGTGCTAACCGCTACACTATACAACCAAGACTAGGATCAAACGCCAGTGTCAGGCTAGGATGTGGCGCCGAGTGATATTGAAAATATATGTAGCTTCGTTTTCCAAGGTTTTATCATGTGTTCGAAAGACAGGGTGTAAGTGCAGCACACAAGAGCCCCCATCCATGCTCGTGTGGAAAAATTTATCTATTGCATTATCCTTGTTTCTCATAGTGTATCTGCGCTAGCTCTTACCAGCTTCGTAAAGGCACAGCATTTTTTTGATCGTTCTGCTCAGCAACAGCCGAAGGACGCCTTATCCCCCATTGCGTAGGCTAAAACATCTAGAGTCTGTTTTCTTTCTTACCAGCATTGGCTCTTGCTCGCTAATATGGCGGGGCGATCCACATTTTCGCAGCGCTGTTGAGCTGCGGCCACTTGCTTCCTAATTGTCCTTGAGCCGGCAGATCAAACGCCGGATGTTCGATGGTCGAGACGGCAGGTTGTAGGGGCGCGTATTGTCCGGGGACCTGCGGCGAAAACCGACGTCTTGTTTGCCAGGCCGAGTTGTAATGTTCAGCCGGCGCGGTGAATTCAGGATTGTGGTGAGGTCGGGAAGGAAGAGGATATGTTGATCCGGTGGGTGATGGTGGCTCAGGTCTGAAAGGTGTGTGATCGTAAGACAGTGGAGCAGGTGCCGTTGCAGACATTCTCTCGGCATTTGAATACGACGAAGAACCTGCCGGATTGGGAGAGGAGTTGTCCATGTCATTACGAAGTATGCGAACCTGGTCTTTGAATACGCGCCAGAGCTTGTACTGGTCTAGCTCATCGAATTCCTTTCTCAGGCGTATATCATGAGGATTGAGAGCAGCATAGAGCGCCTGGGATGCGGGGCTTCGAGAGTAGGGAGTCCGAAAGGTGGTCTCTTTCGAGTAATCGAGATCTACCTGCTCAACGCTGTCCCTAGCAATGGCAAGCAGAGACGCGACAAAGGCTTCCTGCATATAGGCGAATGAGAAGTCATTGGTGATGGCGGCCATAGCCGGGCAAAGTCGTTCAGGAAACTCGATCTCGATGCGTTTTGACTCCTTTGACAGGACTTTGCGACGCCAATATTCTGCATACAGGGTCCGTTCATGCTTGAGAAAGCGTCAGTACGATTGTCAACAAGAATCTCGGATCTCGAACTTACAGTGTTTGGCAAGGGGAAAAGAAAGAGTCTATCGAAACGACTAGGACGCTTAGTGATGCCTGGATCCAGCCGTTCGAGAAAGTTTGTGGTAGCAACCATCAAGATGCCGTCATTGCTATCCAGACCATCAACCTCGTTGAGGAAGTAGCTACGGGTGGCAGGATTGATAATTGTCTCCAGATCCTCCAAGACTAGCATGCAAGGGGAACAGCTTCTGGCAAAGCTGAATACTTGGCCAAGATCGAAGGTGGAGGGGGCTGCTTTGACGTACAGAGAAGGGACTGGACGATCTCTTTGATGCAGCGTATGCATGAGAGCTTTGATCGATACCGTCTTTCCGTTTCCGGCTGGACCATGGAAGATGAGACCTCGTTTCCATGGAACTCCGAGATCTTTATAAACATCTTCGTTATCAAAGAACTTTGTCGGGATGTCAACCAGATCCTTCTTCTGATCTTCGTCGAGGATGACCTTGTCCCAGCTAGCTTTTTGAACAGACTTGAACAGCGCCGGATCCATTCTCCAATAACGGTCATATACCCAGACAACTTGTGTGTTTGAGCTTTGCCAGGTACCGACCGTAGCAATCAGCTGGTCGACAATCTTCGGTGGAGAAGAGGAAGATTCACCCGAGGCAGGCTCTTTCAGGAGATACTGTACACCATCAACAGAGTAGAGAATAAAGTGCTCCGACTTCCATTGTAGGATATGTTTGGCGAAGAAGACGGTCTGACCGAGGTGGCCAGAACCGGAAGCGCCATACGAGGGTACCCAGCCTCTCCAGCTAGCAACAGGGTCGGTGGAAGTGTCAAGTTCTGCAGTGGCATGACCAGCTGCTGCGAAGGAGAGGATGTTACAGTTGTTGGTGGGGATGGTGGTGACTGTCAGATCGGGGAAGCGCTGCTTCAAAGCGGCCTGATATTGGATGTCATGGTCGGCGGTAAGGCCGGCGGTGAGAGTTTGGAATTTGTCAAATAGTTGCTTGTCGGGTGTCTCTTCTACGATTGCGAATGGCTCCATGTCTGCGATTCTACGTGTAGTACAGTATTGAGGGCAGCGAAGGCGGAGTTAGTTGGGGGTGGATGGACGAGGTCTATCAGTGGGGGAGCCGCCAGGCACCAACTTTCCCCGCAACACCCCCGCACCTTGTTGGACATCGACAACAAGGCAACGCGCTTTTGCTGAATCGGGCCTCATCCGCAGCTGGATTCAACACCATATTGACTGGCTGAGATACGAGGTCATGAAGTGCTTATTGTCCTGCGTGTAATTAGATATTCTCCATCTGTCCACCTACAGACTGCCGATCACGCCATCGCTCGCATTGGACACATTTCTCGAGAACATGCACAAGATGGTTGGAGGTATGAAGAACGAGATGAGCGAAGAAGGAGGACATATCACAACAATGTATGTTCGCGATCATCCCAAGGAGCATTGAGCAGATCAACAAGTGATGGAAATGTAGGACGGTATACCTACAGTCAGAATGCCAAGCACTTCAACCCTCTATCAAGTCGCCGGTTGCGGAATGCCATTGACACCAAACTTGAACAAGAGCCAGTGTCAGGGAAGTGCAGTGCAGCGCAGAAGGTGCATTTTCCCCCCACAATGTTCGTAGTCTGCGACACTGGTAGCACTGGTCATGGCCGTTGACGGTCCTAGGCCAGCAGTCGGTAATCGTCAGAGGCGCCTGTCAAAACGGCATGCTGCCTTTTTCCCACCACTCGGTAATCTGTAGATGCAAAGCTGATTTAGCAAAGGGGACGAATCATATCGGTGAAATGAGATAGATGCTGTGTTATGAAATATATTGCGTCGGTTAGAGATTGGACGTCATGGATGGGCTTTGATTGCGATCCTCGGACGCACCTCAACCGATCCCGCACGGAGCTTCGACCGCACTCGACCCAAGCGCACACACAGACTTTTGGCTAGTCTGGAGGATCCGCACAAGGGTGCAGGGCCTCTGCCAGGCCAGGCCGTGAGCAGACGCGGCCTTTCTAACTCGCAACCAATTCAGTCTCTTACCCCGCCGCAGTTCACTTTTTGCTGCATGCTCTCGTGCCGTCCACGTTTGAGACAGTTCGACGATGGCACGCGAACAGAGTTCTTCCGACGGCTCTCAGAAAGACAACGGCGGGGAATTGAGGATAGAATTGCGGTGGGCCGCGTGCCTGGATCATTGCAGAAGGCGCGATCCAGTGCCAGTTAGCGGCCATTAGCGACGGCAGGGCCCGCCGGTCTCACACTTGCGATTGGCTCGTCCCTGCCGCTTGCATCTCCGTTCAGCCAAATTGGATCCGCAAGCTTCAACGATGCTCTGTTTTGACAGGAGGAACTTATCAAAATCCACTTGATCAATTGGTGGCGTCCTCTTGTCTGGGGTCGAGACAAGGCCCGCGAAAGACTAATGCCAAGTTGATATCATTTCAGTGAAACTTGCGAGTGACTTGCGAGTGACCTCAGTCCACGCCATCGCGCACCATCGAACCACCAGGCCAGGGTTGGAGCAGAACGGGCCATCAGACCATGTGCTCAATCCCGATAATCTACAAGATAACACATCCCATAGCCCCCTCCACTTCACATGCCGCCCTCCCTGCCCTGCCCTGCCTGCATCTCTGAACTCTGATCAGCCCTGCTCGGTCGCAGCTTTACTTATTTGACCCCAACCTCTCCTTGGCCACGGTTCCACAGTCCTGCCTCCAGCATTTCTTTACCACCTGCCCACCACTGCGTATAAGTATTGTTCTAATACTGGTCATTCATTATCCCCTCAGCTGAACGAGGTCGGCAATAATTCTGTGTCCTTACGAGCCGACATCAGACCACCACCGCCAGACGCAAAAACCGTTGGCCGGCTGCCCAGAGCGATATCAGTACTGCAACTGCCGCTACTAGCATCGCGGTTACAGTCTGAACCCTCCGCCCAGTTCTTCCTTCATTTGAACTGATCGAGACGACCGCTGCACCCGCCAAAACTCCAACGTCACCTGTTCGAGTTCGCCGTGTTTGTCTCTTAAGGTCTCCTCCCTCTGTCAATCGACAGCCCGGCAAACCTACCGCCGCCTTGTCGTCGACATCCTCTCTCAATACCTCTCTGCCTTATACGGGCATATTCGACCACACAGCCCATCATGCATCCTTCTCTCAGCGAGAAGTCATCCTTCGGCATCATCATGGAGCACGACGAAGAGAAGAAAGACAACGGCGTCGTCGAAAATGTCTTCGAGTCCCCAAAGTCGTCGTTATCCCGCACAGCCTCTGAGGAACAGTTCTCGAAACCCCCCACGCGGCCTTGCCCTGCGGCCAGAAGTACCACGCATGATCTGCTGAAGGTCGACACCGCTATCGCCAACAACAATGCCGACCTCGAGAAAGGCCTCCTGGCACCACAATCTTCACGCAGCAGTGCTCACTCACCCCTCTACGAGCCCTGCCGCGTGTACAGCGTCAACACACAGCCGCAGGAGTGTACCATGTGGCCCTCCAAGAGGACGCTCAAGACGAAGGCCAAACAGGACAAGACCCATCGCCGCGGAAGCACCTGTTTTGGTCTCAGCAAGAAGTGGGGAAGCCTTACCCGCAAGCAAAGGCTATGGATACGCATCCTGCTCGTCCTTGTCGTCATTGCACTCGGCGTCGGTGTTGCTATTGGCATCAGCCGAGCCGTAGGCGGAGGCGTCTATGGTGGCAAGAAGGGCACTCAGCAGATCCCTGGCTCCGGCTAGAACTCCGTTGATTCCCTTCAACAACCTTTATACGGAATTGTTATCCGCACCGACTATAGGAACGGCATACTGTTTGATTCTCTCTTCTTGTTAAAAAGTATCAGTACGAAACATAGCG